CTGGTCGCCTTACATTCAGCCACTCTTTCATCATCTCCTCAATGAGGTGGTCTCAAAAGTCGCAGTTGCAACACACATAGGGCGCACCGCACCAAAGGGCGCACCGCACATTTTGAGGGAAAAAAAAGACGTTTATGTGCGCCTTATAGTCGTGAAAATACGGTAAGTAACCGATGATCCAAGCTCAGTCCGAACTCGGCGCAGATCGGTTTTCAGAGGGTAGTGTTAATGGGGCTTAAGACATCTACCTTCTAGGGATGCTTGTAATTGTTTTAGTCTTGATACAAATGTTTAAAAAGTGCCCTTTTTCAGTTAACTATAGTAACCAGCTTCAGCATAAAAGGTTTGACATCAGATGTGTTTCTTTTCTCCACCAGTCTCCAGTGGTGAGCCGTGGACAGGCCCATCAACAGCAGCTCCATGAAAAGAAATTTGACCTCTTGAGTGATTTGGGTGGAGATATCTTTGCAGCACCAGCCAACGTGAACACAGCCGTCAGCTCCAGCTTTGCTAACTTCGCACATTTCAACAGCCACACAAGTAAGAATCCCAGTAATGATTGATTGATTCAAAGCAGGTGTTGGTTGCCGGGGTCTTTATAAATTTCAGAAGGTTGCAGAAGAATTATTTTAATAAAGGGGGATGGCATCAGCAAAGCAGTTATTTCTTTCTCTTACATGGATATAATGCTTCTCTGATGTATTTCTTTAAGTTGAATCAAAGTAAACATCCGGAACTTAATGCAAAGGAAGATTTGTGCTGGAGAATAATGGCAGAACAAAAAAGAGAAAAGGTCTTTTTCAAGTTTCCAGCTTCATTTTCCTTCTCATGTGTTTAAAAACCATTCTGTCCTTTTACTATTTGGACTATTCACTGTTTCTGTTATAAAGTTTTGACCAATTACCAAAAGAGTTTTTATCTAATGCCCGGAAAAAAGTGTAAAGTAAAATATTCCTGAAAAGTGTTCCTCTGAACTACAGTCAGATCCAGTTCCTGCTGCGCTGCAACAAAAAGAGGAACTGGATGTGATGCTAAAAAAAAAGCCTTTGAAAAGGTTCCTGTTGTCCAAACCATCTGTATGATTATTAAAGCGTGGGTTCACGATGTACTTCTGGAAACAGATTTTTCATATTATCACCACTTGTTACAGACAACATCTTTTCAAAAACATGAAAATAATGATTTAACTCCACAATTTTATTAAGAAACAAAGAAAGAGTTTGATGGGAAACAGGTTGCCCAACTAACATCTCAATAACTTAGAATGTCAAAGAGATTTCCCATCGATGCAAATCAAACATGAAACTTCAATTTTAAAGGTCCATTACGTATTGACTCATTTATATTCATGGTTAGTACCCTGTATAATCTATATTTCTGTTTTTGGATCAATTTGAATATCATGTAAGACTAATAAAAAGAAGTTGGAGTACTTAAACATTGACTCGCATACAAAGTTTCTCCATATGCCCTCTTTTGCATGAAATGCTGCTGCTATGCTGCTTGACATAGAGGTGATGTTTTTAACTAAGCCCAGGTTTGTTTCATAGCAGCCTTCAGCTCATCTTCATTGAAGGCTCTTATCTACTGCCTGACAATATCAATTATGGGGTTCAGTTCAGGCAAGTCTGCTGACCAATCACCTACTGTGATGTTAGGGTCATTAAACAAGACGTCAGCAGTTTTAGCAGTTTGGGGAGATGCCAAGTACTAAGTATGAAATCTGAATCTTCATAAATTCTCAGCAGAGGAGCTGTAAAATGTCCTATTAGTGCTGACTTTTGTCTTAAGAAAACTCAAGTCACTACTGATTATAGAAACTTCTCACTTTAAGCAAGTTTGATTCATGTGTTTTACCTTTAGCAGAGGAGAGGCACTTCTAATGTTGACTCTGGTATAGGAGTGGCATTACACAAGGAAGGTAACAGCTGTAGCCTATTTACTGATGTGTCTGTGAGGCTCTTGCAGCGTGACTCCAGCTCAAGTGCTGTTTATGCAACTTTTTCTTTCCAACGTAACTTTCTAATATGGAAACAGCCAGTTTCTTATAAACAAGCTTTCATCGTTTACTCTCTTTGAAAAAGGTGTCAACTGCCGTCTGTTGGACGACTATAAATTCGACTGTCTTCCATATGATTAAGGTCAACACAGCCATAGTTAGCATTTGTCTGTTTTAACCCCTTTTTCATTAATTAAGTCGTCTTAGATGTTTAAAATTACGTTTCAATTGCATTTCTTGAATTCATCTGCTTTAGATCTACCAGCATGCGAAGGCGAAAAACAATCTCACATGGAGGGGATTTGTTAGCGAATAACCCGATGGAAACTCATTATAATCTGTATGTTAAACAAGAAACTCATTGCTGTTAGGTTTCCTTTTGTATTTTTTTAGTTAGAGATCTGAGACAAATTTGTTCCAACCTTTGATTAGAAATGTTGGTAATTTATTTTTTCTGTCATTGCCTTGATTGTACAACTTAACAGTCCATCAAAGCCAATTTGCCTGCAGGAGCAGTTCGGTTTCACCAGCCCTTTACTGTAGGTTGATTGTCTATATCTTAATGGAGTTCAGTGTTGTTTGTGTGTCATCTCACCTATGTTGTTAGATGTGTGTAAATCCATTCATCAACACCTCCCCCTCACTCTTTGTTTTTGTTTTGTTTTCTCCTGTTGTGCTCACCTGTCCATCTGAATATCACCCCATCACCACCTTCAGCAGCACCGAATGCCAGTGCAGGTGCAGGATTTGCTAATTTTGATGCGTTTGGAAGCAGCTCTACACCCCAGGCCTCTTTCCAGCCTCCAAATACAGGTAGAGAAGCTCACCAAGCACTAACATTAAACAGTTGGTATTGTCATTCAAAAACCCCAAGGGTAAACTAAAGATCTATTTATGAATAAGCACGCTCTGTGTAAATTATTTCAGTTGTTTTTAGCTGCTCTAACACACCCTCCCGAACGTTTATTAATCATTTCTGATAAACCAGCATACAATATAAAATGCCTGCATGTTTTTAGCCAGTATGTAAATTAACCTTTTTTGAGTGGCATACTCTTAGCAGATAAACCTTCTACTGCAAGCTATTACATGCTGCATTGCCCCCTACAGGGCATGTTCAATAACCTTCTTGGTGTGAGCCGTTCTCTTTTTCTCCCATTTCTGTTGCATCTTTCACTCTTTTGTTTTTTCATTGTCTTTGTCATAAACACAACATAACTGTCTATTTTTAGCACTCATGCTTTTCTCCTAGAGTCTTTTCTTTTAGCTACTATTTTGATTACTTGTTTTCTTTATCTTCTTTCAACTTTTCCTTCTTTATTGCACCATTTCCCCTCCTTTGATTTCTGTCTGCCAGCGTTCACTGTGCTCTCATCCAGCCGCAGTGTGGGTGAGTTTACCGCTGCTCTGCCTCTCCAGAGTTTGCACAGTAAGTCTCTGACTGGATTTGCCATGATAATAGCTTCATAATCTTTTATGTTTATTCCTCTCCATTTTGTTTTCTCTCATTGTGACTCTAACTCTATACATTACTGCTTTATGGTAGGGATAAAAAAAAAAGATTGTATAGTTTTTATTCTCTTGGTGTAAGACTGATTATGACTGCTTTTTGGGGGGGCTGGTCTTATCGCAATTTAAAGGCCATTGCCACACATTTTTAATGCAAAGAATTATTTTCAAAAATGGTATAGCCACAGTAGGCCTATAGCGTTGCTGAATAAAAGTTTAGTTAGTTTGACTGACAAAATAGCCTGTAAACAATTGTTTCATATATAGGTAGGTATAGGTATAGGTATATCATATATAGTAGGAGTAGTAAATTTAATGACGCCAGGCGTTACCAGATCCTAGTATCTCCGTAATAGAACTGAGAAATGGCTTCTTCTTAGTGCTACATTTCTCTGAATCCTGCACAACAAAAGAGAAGCAAAAGGAAGGTTAACATCTCTCAATATTTTGAGCATTTATGACGACTTAAAGAAGCAAAGGGGCTCAGAGACCATGAGGTTGCCCATTTCCTTCTGTAGGCAAGTTAAATATTTGATCATTCTAGCTATTAGCATTAGCAGACCTGGCAATCTGCGGTACACATTACAAAACGAGAGCTGGCTAGTGCAATACGTACTGGATAAAAATAGATAAGATCATAAAAAACTAATTGATTGTAATAAAATCTAAAAAAAAAAAAAAACAAAAAAAACCTGATACCGGATAGAGTATGTTTGATAAAGGCATGGTGATTAAGGTTATCCGCATGAGTTATTTTTAATAAGTAACGTAACAAATCTGCAGAGTTTCCTAGCTTGTTCTTGAAAGTAATACAAAAGGGGTCTCTTAAATAAAAATTAAAATAATAATAATAATACATTTAGTTTAAAAGTGCCTTCCAGAGCACATAAAGACACTGTACCATTAGGACAGTAGGAGCAACGTCATCAAGATTTAAAAAGAAGAAAAGAATTATTAAAAAGCAAAAAACAGATGATCATAGTTAGAAAGCAATCTTGACAAATGGCTTTTGAGTTTTGATTTAAACAAAGATGGAGTCTTGTGTGGCTGTTTTGGAGCAGGGAAAGCTCTCCTCCTCATGGTGCTGAGTGGAAAGGAGGACAACAAGGTGAGTAATGGAGGAAGATCCAAGTATACGAGAGGAAACTGAGATTTGAAGTAGATCCTCAAGACTGACAACATTTTACAGATCCTATTGGAAAAAATATACAGCATTTTAAGCTCATAAAGGAGTATTAAGCATTAAACATGTAACCTTTTAGCACCACAGTGCTATCCTCCTACAGAATTATAATTCATTTATTCATCAAATAATAGAGGAAAAACTGGTCCTGGAGGAGTTGAATGGCACTTTTGCGTCAAAGACCCCTACAGTAATCTGAGACGGTAATCTATAAACCTTTGACTACTCATAAATGGTGGGATTAGAAGCCTTCTATTCAGATGAAGTTTTTGGTTATTTGAAGCAAATATGAGCAACAATTATAGAGCATTTTTTTGTTTTTTATTAATTTGTTGTCAGTGCTGTGTTAAGAGTTGCTTTATTAATAAAACGGAATCTCTTCCGTTTAAGAATGCAAACCTTTAGTACTGAACTGTTAATTTTACTTATTAAAGGCATAAAGGAGTATCTCTTTTCTGTTAGAAGATCTGGGAGGGATCCTCTTGTCTATAGGTTGTCTGAAATGCCAATCTGTGTGACCTAAGGCCAGCCTGCATTCTCTTTGCTTCTTATAAACATTATATACAGTTAGCTTTGGTTGTAGCTCCTGTGTTCTCATCATTGCTGAAAGTAGCAAGAGGCAAACAATCTTATAAGTTTATGAAAGGAAGAGAAAGGAAAGAAAAAAAAGAAATAAGACCAGACTGTATGGTGCAAAAGCAGGAAGGATGGTCTTGCACATTCACTGTTATTCTCGAAGTGATCAGGACATTTTCTACTCTTTCAAAAAAAAAAAAGCCCACTTTACCTTTAAAGAAATGAAACTTTGAAATGTTTGTTTTGCTTTTTGGTTTCCAGTTTTGTAACAAGATCCTAAATGCTTGTTAGGATCTTTACAATCTTTTTGTATTTAAATGTTGTCATCCAACTTCTTTGTCTAAACTTCTAGTTGGAGCACACACTAATGTCAGAATTATGTGTTGAATGTCCACATTCATCCCCACCAAGAACTAACTTAACCTAACTAGCTTACCGGTTAACCTGAACCGATTCAGTTTAAACGATGAAGACGAAGTTCACTTTTCTTTTCTTTTTTTAATTTGCGTATTGAAACTATATTTTCTTTACCATTGAAATATACTGAACGTTTATGCAAAGACTACATTTGTGTTTGTAGCCTAGAGAATGTCTTTGCTTCATTCAGTGTGACATGTGGGGAAACAGTAGTTTTTAAGATGTTATTAAACAAGAAAGTACACCCCAAAATGTCATCTCTGTCGTCACATAATCAGGATTATGACCCTACTTAAACTACTTTGTGAGCAGCAGACCCCCACATACCAGCAGGACTCTGTCAACCAAGTACTACGTTATTTAACGCAGCTTGAAATGGTTATAAATGTGTTTTAGTTATGTGGCACAAACTAAAGTCAGAACATAAAATCAAACGTATAACAGCGGAAGGTTTTGATATTTAAGTGAACTTAGGTATTCATTATAAACTGAACAACTGAACATAAACATTTTCGTAGCATGATGAAAGCACTCCCCCTTTTCTTTGTTCATTAAAAAAACTACATTCTACTGGCTTTCTATGTACAGGCTTCAAAACGCCCCAGACTGTTGAAACGCACTGCAGGACCTTTCAGCGCCCCTTGGCTTGCATCTATGAGAGAGACTATATGTAAACCGAATCCCCTTGATGCTCAAAATTCATTTGGTTTGAATTCAGCATTGGCTCTAGGGTTTCAGTTTTTGTGGGAAGAATTTGTAAAGTTTCAGCTTTTATTCCTCACTTTGTCTCTTGTGTATTTGCATTGGTTTATGGAGACTCCCTGCCTAAAGCGGGCTTCATAACTGCAAAAAAAAGGACACTAAATAAACACCTCACTTTAAACAATCACGTTAAATTAATGAGGTCTTTTCATTTTTCAGTTTTAGAGAAAGGGGGTAATAATGTAGCCGTATGATTCCCTCCCAAATAGAGTTATCTTTTATATAAGCAGAGTCTCTCCCCAAAGTTTTCATACCTAAATTGCTATTTATTTTTGAGCTTTGTATCTCTACCATGTTTACAATAGATTTTTCTTTTGACATTAACCTCTAAAGCTGTTTAACTCCCCTAAAGTAGTTATTGTGGAAAATCTTTGCTCACTTTCCTTTAGGTATTTCTGAGGCCCATTTCACAACGAAGGTTTATCAAACTCAAATCCTCATCTCTGAATTGATCTAGTCTAAGGTTGGAAACTGAGTTTGTGGTTTCATAAAAGCCACTGTGGGTTAGTTTAATCAACTCTAAGAAGGTTCATTCAGAGTTGAGCATGTGGGTAACAAGTATGAAAAGCCATTATCAGTGAAGCCCCGATTCTACAAGTCACCATGACGACAGAGAACAGAAAGTATGTATTTTATACCCCTGGAACTAGAGATTTTGATGTAGAATTAGAAAAAAAATATTGGAGAATGTGTTTAAAAGGCAGAGAACCAGCGCAACAGCTGCTAAGGAGAGGAACATGGAGTAGGAGAAGGTTGAGTTAATGGGTAAATGTATATGTAGTCTGCAATGGCAGGCTGTTTGACATTAAAAGAGCTGTCCTCTTTATTGTTCCATTTTTAGATCACTAAAATAGTCACTAAAATAATCAGATTTTTAGTCTGAACTGTAATAATAGAATTTCTAAATTTGTAATTTTTGCCAGCAAAAACTGAATTTCAGAAAAAACAAAAAGTATTACACATTAAATCCATGTCACCGAAACGTAGAATTGATTCTAAGTAACGCTGTAAAATGCAGTAAAAACAAAAAAGGTACATTGTAAATAAAGTAGATAGCTACTACAAAGTACGAAATTGTAAATAAGACTTCAGACTTGGCTGAAAAGGCTGTTATCAATGATAATCTGCATATTACCATCCATAAGAAACCTACTAGAAGGTAAAGGAGGCATAGTCTGAAGCGATATGGGACTGGTGCTGTTTGACTGCAGCCGTGTTCTATAATGCTTTTATCACATATATCATTGTTCTCTTACTGATTTCAGACTCTTTTAAAGAAGTCTGTAATGCTGCAAATGTGAGGACAGATAAGGTCTGGATGTATGTGATGGTGCATAAAGATAACTTTCTGAATATCAAAGGACCCTCACCCTATGAATATTGAATTCTCTATGAATTAATGCTGATCATTCTTTAATAAAATCCTTGTCAAAAGGACATGTTATGTTTGTTTTAAACACCTAATGTGTCTAACTGACCAAGTGAAGGATTTTTACATTTTTTAATGTTTACACAAAATCACGAAAAAACTCTTCTGACTAAATCAGGAAATAAAACGACGTGATTGGCTTCAAGGAGAGCCGAGACAGAGGACACTCTGAGTTTATTGAACAAAATCTGCTCCCGAAAAGTTTAGCTTGGGGAAGATCGTTACTACGGTAACAGAAACAGAGGTTGAGTAAACTCTCTTTGTGAAATGGAAAACTCAGTTTCCCTGATTTGAGATTTAGAAAACTATGTAGAACTGACCCCGGTCCTCCTCCGCTGGCATGGCTCAACACAGATTCCTCTCTCCCTGACACCTCTGTTTTGATCATTGTCTCAAAATTTTTAAATAAGGCATCCCTTATGACCTTTTAATTTCTCTCTTCCATGCAGGTAGTGCCTCAGGGGGACTAGCAAATGCCAATTTTGCAAATTTTGACAACTTCCCCAAATCGTGTAGTGCTGACTTTGGATCCTTCAGTTCCTCCTCCCAGAGTAACTCCACAGGAGCTGCCAAAGACGTTGTACAGAGTACTAACGTTCCCATCGATAGATACGCAGCCCTGGCTGACCTGGACGTGTTTAGCTCTGCCAAAACAGAGCAAGGTAAACCTCTATAGCCCAGCCTGCTTTGTCGATTTCAGGGCGATGGGATCACTTGAAAATAATAAAAAGAAGCAAACATACAGGCTTGCTATAAATATGAAGATTGAAAGCCCTGTTTTTTTTTTTTAGCTTTTTTGACCCGGGTCATGCACAGGCTTAAAAAACAAACAAACAAACAAAAAAAAAACAGCAAGCTTTATATATTGTTGTACAAATTATGACATTTTCAAGCAAAGGCCGAATTTGATCATTGTTTTATTGTCCAGCTCAATTCTTTCATCTGTTGACATTACCATGACCTTGGTGAGACCAAAGCAGCCAACATAAAGACCAGAGGCTGCTGCGCTCTCTTCTCGCTTTTAAAAAGTGCCATCCTTTCAAACATTTTGAAGACCAGAATTCTGGCTGGGTTTATTTTTTTCTCAATGTAATTTCACAAATTTGTCAATAACTGACTATTATTCCCACGTTTTAATAGGTTGAATATGGCAGTTCTTGGGACCTTTTTGCTGCCTTTCAGAGTTGACTTGTTCCTGTAACTTAAATTGAACCTCTTTCGTCGTGTGCTCCTCTTCCAGGGAGTGGTATTTCTGGAGGCGTAAGCTCTGCCGCTGCAGCAGCTGCAGGAGTTGCTGGTTTGCCTCAGAAGCAGCCAGCGGGTGTCGCTCGAGGGGACCGTTATGCTGCTCTTGCAGAGCTTGATACCGTCTTCAGTTCCACAGCTCCAGCCACCAGTGTTTACAACACCTCCAGTACTTCCCAAGGGTAAGATTCCCTCACCATCTACACACTGTTATTGGGAAGGTGCCAATTAAGACGGAGTTTAATGTTGATTTATATGAGATACTGTCTCAATGTTTAATTTTGTATGTGTATTTTTATGCTTATTCATGAATTTTTATGGCTTTTAATAAACACAAAATCTCAGGTTTTTATTAGTACGTGATTATAGGATTTCAATGTGCTGGCAGACTGTGGCCCTTTTATAGTCTGTTTGACTTTATGAGGAACTTTGTATACTAATAAACTTTCTTTATCCATAGAAAATATGTTTCTGTCTCATTAACGGGATTTATTTCTTTGGCTAATACCACAGTGGTGTGTTTGGGTCCGAGACGGTGGCTTCAGCACAAGCACAACAGGCCATGCCTGGCATGCCTCAGGCTTTTGGAGGTAAGTAAATCTGTTTTCCTTACATATATAAACACAAAATCAATTATGAATCATCAAATCGCTGATGCTATTATATTATTTAGTGGCTGTTCTTGACCGAATTGCTTGTTCTGTGGCCAAAAGCAAATCATTTTTATCTTTTGTTTCTTTCCTTCCCTAAAACGTTAAGTCAAACTAATTAGCTGTTTTGTTATAGAACCAACCTTTGTTTGATATATGTCTGTGAAATAAATCTTTTTTTATTTTTTGATTTATCAAGTTTTTTTTTCTCTCCCAAGCAATTTATTCCTTGGGCTTCCCAAGCTCGTTTTCTCGCATCAGTTTATCACTTTCTTTCATGTCTTCTCTTAACTGTAAAGCTAGCTCACTTCACACAACTAGCTGAAAATGTTTTATTGCCTGATCTCCAAATATTACAAATAAGAAGCACTGAAATGCACATGCATTTATATTTTTGGTATGAGCAATAAGAGGGCATTTTGCAGGTGATCTACACAGATTTCTGCACACATGTTAAGATGTGCAAAGCAGATTGTGTGTTCTACAGGTGATGAAGAGTGGTAGTAAAAGAAAGATGATGTTCTAAGCCATGCAGTCGGACATAATAATGATAAAAAAATATAAAAAAAAAATCTAACTAAATACTATTAATAGAGCTCTTTGCATGGGAAGCCTATCCCTAAGTGCTACAAACAAAAATTAGAAAAAAAAATGATTAAAATAAACAAAAGTTAAATGTGAAAAGAATAATTATAAAATATGGGAGAGATTTGTTTAACTGTTAATGAAACTGGGCATCTTAAAATGGGTGAAAAGGTATAAAGCATAACAGTGCTGTTGTTTGTTGATGCTAGGGAGAGAAAAAAATATTCCTGTTGAATCAAGAGACGCACATTTTAAGCAACGAGGATTGTTTTACAGACGGGGGAGATTAGATTTTCTAAGTCATATCGCCCAGCCACACATCGACAGAGAATAATCCAGTTCATTACTAGTATTTTTTGTAGTTCATACTTAAGATTATGACTTGACTCCAAATTCTTACAAAAAAACTGTAATTCAGCACTAAACTGGAACTACCAATCTACTGCCATTAGTGTTCAGTATACATTTTGCTCACATTAGCAAGGGGCAGGTTCCCCCCTCCTCATGGTTTGGATATGAAAATGAAAAAAATGTATTGAAAGCTGGTGCCATTCCCTAATGGAATGGCACTTTTAGCAGTAGGTCATAATACCCTGCCACTTATTTTATACAGTCTGTTTTCTTTCTTAAAGGGGTCATAGAATGCAAAACCAAGTTTACATTTTCATAGATGAATAACGATAGTTCAGTGGGTGAAATGGGCGTTCAGAGAAGTTCAAACCCCATCAACACCTCCTTTCAATGCAAATCTCACAATTCCAAACTTCGACCATAAAACAGGAGAATTAATGCAAAGCCCCAAGTTGACTTCAATTCGGGGATGTTGCCTTATTTGGTTCTGGCCTAACCATAAGGCCATTACAACCGCAAGCTGGAAGTATGATTTTGTGGCCAAGCTGTTGATAGCAATGCTAGCATATCTATGGTGACCAGAATTGGGTTTTTGAAAAGGAGGACACTTTGTTTGGGGAGGAATGGGGGGCTGACTGGAACGGACCGGGCATTTGAACCGAGCCATCAGATCCGGCGCTGGTCTGGGTCCGGAGCCAGCCAGGGATGGAGCGGGGATGGAGTGACCAACCCGACCTGGAGACGTTATGTTTCCCCCCGCTTGCCTCCGTGCCCCACTGGCTCCCTCTCTCCATCCGCCGGAGTTCCTAGACCAGCCCCTGGTGGCTCAGTTCTGCTGCACTGTACTCGACCAAAATCCTGGACAATTTTAAAATTCCCCCCGGACATTTTTTTAGGTGTAAAAGGACGTCTGGTCACCCTACTATATCAACCATTTCAATGTTTCAGTGAGTGAGTGCTTGTTGCTATGATGCGTCTTTGCTCAGCAGTTTCAATTCAATTAAATTTCAATCGTTGTAAACCAACCAATCAGCGCACAGCTCATCTAAATATTCATGAGTATACCATAAAAGGAAGAAAACCTGTCGTTTCATACTGGGGCTCTTAACCAGGCTTGCATTACGCCTCATAAAACAGCAAAATATGCAATTTTCAGCCCAACCAATGTTACAAACCCTATTCAGAGACCTTAAGGACCAGCACCAAATACCCTATATAATCATTCTATGACCCCTTTAAAAGCCTTTTCTTATTTTGTTGTACCTGCCTACTATTTTATTGGGGTATCTTTGCTACTTGTCTCACATATCTGAGCGTTCACAGGGCACTGCAATAGAATGTTTGGACTGAAACGTTCAAATACTAGATTAAAGGTCACTGGTGTTGAACATTTCAGTCCAACAATTCTTTTACAGCCTCACAGTGTGGAATCAGATATGATGAGTGTGACAACCAACATTGATCTTGACCATCATATGTTGATGTCTGTAAAACAGTTTTTAGAAGCTTTATTATCTGCTTTATTTATTTATAATGTTTTTTTTTCCATAAATCATCCTAACATGTATTAAAACATTTATCTATTCTGGAACCCTCTCCAAACCAGTTTTAAGGTGTTAAACCCCATGCCTTTTTGTTGTAGTTCTGTTTCTCAGCTCTGTCACATTTTAAAACTTGACATCTTCCTGCAGCAGCACCATCAACCAATCCGTTTGTAGCTGCTGGTGTCGCCCCCGCAGCAGCTCCCACCAATCCATTCCAATGCAACGGCAGAGCAGCAAACGTGGCAGCTGCAGCAGGTCTGTTCTCCTTTGTGTCTGTGAATCCTTTTTTCTCAGAGGTTGGGATGAAATTCTTTGTGGGGAAAGCTGCACGCAGCAGGTGAATTGTTCAGTAAACTTGGCCTTGAACAATCAACAATTGAATCAGATAGAAAAAAAATAAATAGAAATAAAAGGTATTAAGAAGTTAAAGTTACAGAGACTCTGACTGGAATTATAATATAAATTTATGGTAAAAGGAAATTTGTTAATTAAATGAATATTTTTATCATGCTGGACAGGCTTGAGGGTCCTTCATTGGCAGGACTATGCCCCTACATTTGGTAGGTCACTTTAAGGTGTTTGCCTAGTTTTGTATTGGTGTGCTGTGAACTGAAAGAGACTAATATTTATTGGCATACATACATCTATTTTATAATCAACTGAAAATTCAAACAAAATAAACCCACCTGTTTGATCAACATTTGACCTTATAGGTTGTAAAATGCGGTTCAGGTTTCTCCTGATGACATGTTTGCTTCTTCTTTAGGATGGAAGGTTTATTTTTGAATTATAAGTACTATTACTTAAAGAAAAATACAATTATATTAATATATATTTATCTTTTTGGGTTTCACCATGCATGCCACATTAGCGGACATACATTCTAACTGTGGATATTAACAGATAGGAGGCCTAAGACATACTTAAGTTAATTTTTCTTAAATACTTTTTTTATGGAAGAGTCAGTCATATTGGCACTGAGATTGTTCTGGTTCATAATGATGGATGGTTTATTAGCTGGTTCAGATTGTCCAGATCAAAGAGGCCAACTGAAGACCTCTGTTCCAGTTCAAGACTTGCTACTAAGTTGCAGTTTCTGTTTGTTTTTTAAGGAGACACTAATTGACAGGTTTGCTGTTAAATAAGCATCCCGAGCTGTCCCCATGGCGACCATATCCATACGTTGCTCAGCTGTATAAAATTTCCTGAAAATGTACAGAAATAGATACACGTCAAATCAGTTTGAATCGAGGAGCCGATTTCTAAATGGAATCAGAGCTCCAACTGTCTTAGTCTGTTTATGTTGCTGTAAATGTTTGTTTTATTAAAGGAAATTTTCATTCCCTTTTTAATTACAAAGCTACGCTTGTATTTGTGATGTTCAATGGTGTCTCACAGATGCCGTCTCAGCTCCTTTCTTTTTCTCTGTTTTTTGTTTTGTTTTACTGAATAGTTTTAAACATTTAGTGAAGCCTAACTCACTTGTTGGTGAGGTGTCAACGTTCCAAATAGAAACATGGAGGCCAAATTCTCGTCTTAATTATGGTTTGTTAAACATTTAAATGATCAATATTAATAATTCAGCTGCTAGAAAGCAACTTTGGGACTTTATACAAAACATAGACTTTTTGTTTTTAACCAGTTTCTTTATTGGATTGTTTGTGTCGTTTAACTAGTTGATGGTTGACCAGGTTTCCATGTGACGGTCTAACAGTATTGTTGCCATGGTTATTCTAACATGGGTAGGTGCCTTCTGGCTATGTATACCACTTACCTGTTTATTGTAGGCGGATGCTGGGCGTTCCAAGCAGTTCCTCAATCTGCTTTTGATTTTTTGCCAATTGGGGATGTATAAAGGAAACATGTGCAGTAACAAGTCTACACACAGTTTTATAAATCTGTCTCTTTTTTTTTTCCACAGTGAGTTGTGAGAATTTTCTCTGGCTCCAGTTTTTGGTATAAAAGCTGCATACTCTGTTATGCCTGAAGGCCCAGAACACATAGTTCAAAAGATGCATCCAGCACTTTTGTAGCAGAGACCATATCCTGTTCATGTTTTTGAGACATGACATCTGACCCTAACATTTCAAACATGATATAACAGTCTTTTAGCTTTTCAATGGTTGAATGTCTGCAGGGAACACTGTGTGTGAAGGAGGAGTAGTCTTTGACTGCAGAGAGTAGTTTCAGAGTTTCTTACTGGTATTGATTGCATCACTGTAAAAGCAGTCTTGGCAGATCTGATGCTGAATTTGAAGAAGAGCTTAAGGATGTGATGAATCATGAGAGCACCAAAGTTGCTGGCTTTCTTCCATTTTAATTTAGCAGTTTAACCATTTACTGGGTTCAGTTTGGGATTATTTCTCTGATTTCTTGCTGTGTTTTGCTTAACTTTTTTCTAACTGTGGTTGTCTGAAACTCCTGGTTTTCTGTTAATAATTTCCTAGAATATCTAACAATCTGCCTGCAGATGTGTGCACTGCAGGCAGATTGTTAGATGTGTGCAGACGTGTGCTCTGAAAATAAACCCTTCATGAAACACAAAGCAGCTCTCTTAACCTTGAAATAATTTTTTGTATTTCCTGCTGTCTTGCAGCTCCCTTTGGCACAGGCTCAATGAGTATGCCGGCAGGATTTGGAAACTCTGCCGCCTTCAATCTCCCTACTAGCTTCAGTGGAACATTCCAGCAGCCCTTTCCTGGCCAGCCCCCCTTCACTCAGCCTCCTGCGTTTCCTCAACAACCCAATGGTATGTATCCAAGTGTGAGTTTTCAGCCTGACACACAAACCCAACTCTGTTAGATTACACCTTAACACTAGAACAACCAAGGTCGTCATTTTGACGATTCTAAGATTTTAAAGGGAAAGAACTTTAATTACATTAATCATATTGCTCATGTTATCTGACTTTTCCTATTTCTATATTTCCTTCATTATCACATAGTTGTTGTAATAAAATAAAAGTGTAAAAAATAAATATGGTTAATTTTATCTCGATATCCACAGCTGTCATTTTGACTGCTCTATAAGTTGCATTATAAATTCTTCCCACGGTTGATTGAGGTTCGGTACCATGGCCTAGCAACCAACATTACCTTAACACATACCTTGAACCCTGGGGCTAATACATAAAAAAGGCTTCCAGAAAAAAATCTAACCACAAACAGGCTTTAGTAATGCTTCAAAATATTGATGATAGCGTTTCGGCAGAGAGGGAGAGGGACCGATGGGGACGACGGGTCGGTAGGAAGCGGTTCAGATTCGCCCACGGCAAAACGCAGACATATCAGTGACCCATCAGACAATAGTGTAACTTTTGTTTAAGGTTTGGATAACACTGCCCACAATCAGCGGCCAAAAAGCCAAACCAGAGCCCGTGCTCTACTATAATCACACAAAGGTTGGCGTCGATGTGTTGGATCAGATGATTATAAAGTATTCTAAAAGCTCCAATTTGAAGGTGGCTTGTGACCGTATTTTACAATCTCCTGGACATGGCAGCTATAAACGCATTGGTTTTGGTCAGGAGCTGTTTGAACGTCATGGTCTCAGATCATGCAGAGATTTTATCCCTGAACTGGTAAAACAGTTGCGCACAAACCTCATGCGCTTTGCAGTTTACCAACCCCTCCGCTGCAAGAGATCCAGCTTTGGCGAGGCAAAAGAAAATGGCACCAGGTGCTTCAGCGCTGCAAAAAAAAAAAAAAAAAGCATGCATATGATGTTTGACACAAATTTAAAAAGATGGTGTAGATGGTAATCAATCAATTTCTGTAAATAAAATTGTAATGTCAAACTTTGAACCTGTGTAGTAAAACAGTCTTAGCATACAGTACAGCCTTTAAAAAAAATATATTACAATATATATATATATATATTAGACCCTCCACAATGTGTTTATATCGCACACTAGAACCTTTTCAGTTGATGACAACATCACTACTCCTGCGTTCCATTGGGGAAAATGTCACTCTTCAAATTGACAGCCATTGGGAATTCTGGCAGTCCTAGTGTTAATGCTCCAATGGGTTTTAGATATTTCTTATCTCTGTAGAATGTTTTGGTTTTTCTCACATATTAACAGCTGTATTATTGTCTTTTAGGTGGAGGTTTCCCAGCATTTGGCCAGACCAAGCCTGTTGTGACTCCTTTTGGACAGCCAATGGCAGCCCCCATGGTCCCTAGCAACCCTTTTCTGGTTAGTATGGTAATACCTTGAGTTTTGGTATAAAATATGTCTCAGGCTCCCAAACTTTTCAGCTTCTGTCACTTAAAAGCCATTATGGACTCATGAGCTAAGCTATTGGTCGAGTATACAAGCTTTTCTATAGAACCAGGGGTCTTTTTTTTATCTCTTTAAACACTTTATCTTATATACTTCACTGTTATTAATTCAATGTTTAGTCTAATTAATAGTTAGGACCTATACTTGTGAATCTGCAGTACAAATGGGGATCCCCAGCTTAACTTTAGGAATCAGTAACATATGATGCATTATATATATATATTATTTTTTTTTGCTTGTTTATTTTAACTATTTTGAAAGCAACAATATCGAAAATCATAGTTAAACCTTATAAACGTGTTAGGTGGAACCTATTAGCCAGTTTAGATTTGTTGCCCTATGCAGGACTAAAGGAAATATTAACTTACAGATGTAGTATATTAATCATTTTAATAAATACACAGCATATGCAAAGCTTAAAATTGATATTTTTTTCTTTTTTCTTGAAAATAACGTTAAAGCTGAACCTTAAAGATTTGATATGAAGTATCTTATATATGATGGTTAACTTTTCCTGAGTTCAAAAAAGTTTTACTTCCAGAATGCACATCTATCCGATGTAGTGGCCGTTGTTTTAATACCACTTCGATCTCTGCATAAGTTTTTCTCTAAAGGTTGAATTAGGCTGGTGTAAAATTGGGAAAAAATAACTTTTAGAATTATTAAATGAATTCTAAAAGGCTTTTTTTTAAGCCTTCTTTAAAGAGGTATTACAGTGTTGGAATTATACTGCCACCTGTGGCAAAAACACCAAACTGCAGCTCTCTTCAGCTTGTTCTTGTAGCTCTTGTAAATCAATTAATCTGTTAATTTTTTCAATTATTCAATTAATACTTGGATAGCCAAAAGTTCCTTCAAGAGGATTTAAAACTAAACCAGGTGAAACTTCCACTTGAGGAGTTCTGTATAGAGCATATTTACAGACTTAAATGCAAAATATTAATATATGTTTTTACAATTTTTACATAATTACTGCTCTTACTGGGTCACTCTGTCAGCTAAAGGCATGTTTTAGAGTCTCTAAACTCCAGTTAATGATTAACGATTACTAAATTAGTTCACAATTATTTCAATAATCAATTAATCACAACTAATCCAAGTAGATGCTTTAGCTCTAAATAAACCATTATTTTTGCCATTTTATAAAGATTTTTCTTTTTTTTTCTTTTATTTGGAGTCCATAAATAGAATACATTTACTGGCACTGTTTAGTTCCTTAGCATTTACAAAAACACAGGAATGAAGTGTAACCTATGGTTGTTTAAAAAAAAAAAAAAACCATAATACTCCTCTTAAAGTTAAAAAATAATCAATATTTTAAAAATCTAAAGTTATACTTGATTTAGAGCTTATCTAATTATCCAAGAATCCTTTTCCTAGATCATTAAGTGTGGCTGTATACCTTTTAATGCTGATTAAAGAGCGTTTTTGACTCTGCACTTCTGTTGTTGCAGGGTGGAGCTCCGCCCCCTCAGTATCCTGCTGGAGGCTCGACTAACCCCTTCTTATAGCGATCCACCTCCTCTGCTGCACCACAGGGTCAACAACCAGAACGCTTGCACTTATTGCACTGTTATGTTCAACCAGTAGCTTTAAAAACACAATGTTAGTAAGAATCTGTATTTTCTATTGCAGTTTGTCACAAATGAAACAATGTGCAAGACGGACATGCTGACACTGTCTGTGGCCACAACAAAAAGAGAGGATGTGTGCCGAGGGAGAGGTTGATCCTCTGCCCTCTGTTAAACCTGTGAACCGGCCTGAGCCACAATGTATAATCAAACTGGCTGAAAACTAAGTTATTGCATACAGTATATCATTCATCATGCTGCATTTCTGTACATTTGTTTTGTTTTAGGACTTTAGCTCTCTGTGCATATCAGTATTTGTAAAACAAGATTTGTTAAGACAGGGCTGTTGCTTGGGTACTGCCAGTTTCTGTATTTGTAAAGATCTAAACTGTTTGTGCTGAATCTTTTTTTTTGGGGGGGGTAAATTCTTCTTACTATGGAAAATGTTCAGTTATTGAAAACTGAAAGCAAGTGAATGCTGTATCAGAACGGTGAGGTGCTGTTCTGCCCGTTTTCCTCCTCGCTGAAAGAGACGCTGGTCCCAACATTTCTGAGTGATGGCATCCCACACATCCATGTGGGGAAGTAGAATGACTGGACTGAAAAACCACTTTTATGGGATGTTAAAGAATTTTAAGTTAATGTGTAAATATATACAGAATATATATTAAAATGATTTTAAATAAAATCAAAGGACTAACCCATTCATTAATGAAGTGAAATGTGCATCTTGATAAAGGGATTGAAATGCTGATTTTAATTATTTAACTTGGAAAAATCAAACTCTTCATTTTTGCAGTGTGGATTTTTTTCAGATATATCTGCGATAGAAAGTCAGCATCACCATAAAGTTTGTAAGGAAGGGTGCCGTGAAATGCTTTCTTTGTAGATGGCTGCTTCGAATGTGGATTCAAACTCACTGGACCAACACTCTACATGTGGATCTTTGTTCCTTTCAAAATAAAATCAATTTGCTTTTGTCCTAAAAGCACATTTTTCACCAATGACCAAAAATGTACTTCCTTATTTATTTTAGCTCCAGGTATAATAAACTTTATTAGCCAAGTTTGGGTACACAAACAGCTAATAGCAGTCCAAACAAAAAACACAGTTTTTAAGGAAAATACTTAAACGGATGAAATAAAGACCATATACAGGAAAAAAACACACTATTTACCAGCTCTCCTTTTTTTTTTTTTATAAAAGGAAGAGATGTAATAGTGCCAAAGACTTTTTTTTTTTTTTTTCTGTTTCAGCTTGTTTTCACTAATTGCACTATTTAGCGCAAACATTTTAGTAACAGCAGTTACTGATCAGGATGTGTGGTTGGCAGAGATGTTATTTGCTCTTTATTTGGCTTTAGATTCATACAAGAGGTGGATGTACATTCCAGTGGGTCCAGGCAGCCCCCTGGGAGGCTGTAAGGTGTTACTTATGCTTCAGCCCAAAATTTTTGAAGGATTTCATAGCCACAGACTTTACAGGCCTACAGTCATTCAATCCAGTGATGCTGGAGTGTGAACTGGAGAGCTCACACTCAGCGGCCAAAAAGCCAAACCAGAGCCCGTGCTCTACTATAATCACACAAAGGTTGGCATGGATGTGTTGGATCAGATGATTAGAAAGTATTCTGAAAGCTCCAACGTGAAGGTGGCTTGTGACCGTATTTTACAATCTCCTGGACATAGCATCTATAAACGCATTGGTTTTGGTCAGGAGCTGTTTGAACATCATGGTCTCATGCAGAGATTTTATCCTTGAACTGGTAAAACAGTTGCATGCAAACCTCATGCGCTTTGCAGTTTACCAACCCCTCCACACATATGATGTTTGACATAAATGTGAAAAGGTAATGTGCAGGAAATGTTTGGGGATAATCAATCAATTTCTGTAAATAAAATTGTAATTTCAAACTTTGAACCTGTGTAGTAAAACAGTCTTAGCATACAATACGGCCTTTATTTCTGAAGGATATCATAGCCACAGACTTAACATGCCTACAGTCATTTAATCCAGTGATGCCGTGTTTCTTGGGGACCAGGATGTCAGTGGAGCATTTAAGACCTCTATAGTTTAGGAGCTTTATCAGTTGATCATGTATATTTTCAAATAAAAAAGAAAAGCTTGTTTCATTCTGTTATTTGGATTCACAAGTTAATGCAAAAAAGAAAAAAAAGGACAGTAATCCAGTAAGTAATGAAGCTGTTGCAGACCTGGAGAGCTTCAGTTACAGACTGCTGCACACAAAATGCAGCAGGAAGAGTTGTCAAAGATTCTTCCTCCATGTAGCTGTAAGACTTTATAACCACCACTGTTCCCAATGACCTAAATAAGTTGTTCCATTTATGCTGATCATTGACAGCAGTTTCCACCTTATTCAGTTAAATAACATGCTGCTGTCATTTTGCACATCCCTGATGCTGCTGCTATTTTTCAAATATTCAATACTGTAAAAATGTCCATAGCTGTATATTGGTTATCTTATTCTCCAGGTGCAGTTTTATATTGTTAAAATACTTTACAGTACAGTATTTTACAGTATAGTTCTTCGTATACATTTTCACATTTATTTGACAATTTTTTTCCATAAGCTCTTTGCTGCTGTAAAACACCAGAATTTCCTCATTGTGGGACAATAAAGGGATTTTATATTCTATTCAGATTAACAATATTAGAATTTGTACTCCTCACAGATTTCAGGTTGTTCTCTGTTTACAGTCGATTGTTTCTTCTTCATTCTCTGTGTTTTACAGACGCTAAAAACTCCCCGAATGGAAAAAACCAGAGAGATGGCTAAAAAGTAGCTGGCATAGATGATAAACTGCGAAAGGAAAACAAAGTCATTAGTGAAAATAACATTTTCGAGTTCATTACCTGTGATTGGGTTTCTTACCTGAGGAACAATAGCAAGGCCAAGCCCCCCACTGTCAACCACAACAGCAGTGATGATTGTCTGCAGAAGCAGGGCTCCAAAGTTGTTGGCCCCAAACACCAGAGCATACCTTTCCATAGACAGGTCGGTGGCGATTTGATACCTTGGGGGGAAATGTTGGTTTTTAGTTTACTACTGCAGCATTAGTGCAGTAAAACAAAGCCCTGAATCAAATCAGAGATGAAGACACCTACATAGCTATCGTTATCAGCAGCATATACAGGCATTTGAAGATAGCGTAAGTGCTGTAGCAGACCCATATGTTGTTAGTGAAAGTCATGAGGAATAGTGCAGCAGCTCCAAGTCCTGAGAAGCCCCCCAAGGCCAGCTCCCCCCACTGCTCCCATCTTACATCTGTGAAGCCTATACCATAGGCAGTTGCTGCACCTAGAAAACAACAAAAACAGTTGAGTGAGCTACAATAGGATGGCGTGACTTCTCTCTCTCTCTCCCTTCTTGCTCTTAAACGTTTTACTCCTGATTGTTTTTTGCTCACATTTATGGAACTTACTTAGCAGGTTTGACGTAGCCTCCACACCACCATTGTAAATACTGAAGTTCTGCGAAGGCTGCACATGCTCCCACAGCACCTGGATAATACATACACAGAGATTATAAGGAAATTCAGAAGTAATCGTCCAATCTAATGCTCTGGGTATTCATTCTATATCAAATCCTAATGTCTGCATTATTGTATCCACCGAGTATGGATTGGGTTGTAACCAAATACATACATAGAGGTAGATGTACACTGTGTAAATTGACAGATAGCTTATTGTTTTTGTCTATTTAGTCATACTTAACTTTTTTCGGTTTAGATTGTAAATATATTTAGATTTGCTTCAAGACATTTTTAAATGTATTTAAAGTCAGAAATCGAAGCATATTCTTTGGTGTTTAGTAGTAAACCATGAGAGGTTTGAAAAGAACTTACATTCTTTACTGAAGTAAAAGTGCAGATTAAACCCCTTTTCTGAAGTAAAAGTTAAAAAGTACAGGTTCATCATTGAGTTTCTGGCTTAAAAGATAAATGATTACTCTAAGTACAGAAGTTTGGTTAATTTCCCTCTTTTGCTCACAGTTCTGTTAGAAAGAGCATAAAGAACACTCTAAATTCACATTTTAGAAAAGATGCTATTGATTAAATTGAAAAGAAATTCTTCATGAGCAGCTGAATCCTTTTGGAACGATGGCATTTATCAGAGCATTAAAGTTGCAAATAACATTACATTTTGAAAAAGAACTTGAAAGATAATCAATGTAATTTTTAAATTTCTAATAAAAGTGGAATGAATAAAGAATGTCTTGCGTCTCAGAATCTGATCAATCATTTTCAATGTTTCCCAGCCCTCTGTTTTCATCCATGTTATCAGTGTTTTTTCTATAAAAAATATGTGCTGCAACTGGACAGATTCTCTGGGCTCCTGATTTTCCCTCTGTTTTGTTGCTTTCGTTATTTTTAGCTTAAAGTAATGAGTAAAAAGTAAAAATATTTGTGTTAATATTTAATGAGTAAAAATAAAAAGTACAGAAAACAAATACTCAGGTTCATTTACCAGAAAAAAAGATAATTAAGTAAGTAGTACTTCTTTATAATCCAAATGTTGTTCAGTTTTTCTGCTAAAAAGGAAAAAAAATAAAAGAGCTGATCATTATGCCTCAACCTTTAAGTTGACTTATTGTTTTCTTGATCCAAGTGCTTTGATTTTTATTGACTCTTTGTTTAGTCAGAGACTGACCTGTACATAGTTGACCGTCTGGTTATATCCACATGTGGCCATTGCCCACCACACAGACCAGTATAACAGCTGTCTGGAGGAATAACACCGGCGGAAATCCCTCCACAGCCCAACAACCACCTGGCTGCAGGATTTTGCACCTTTATTCTCATCTGATTCATCATCTTCATCAACTCCCTGCTCTTGATCATCTTTGTCTCCAAGGGAGGTACTTGATCTTTCCAAGTCATTCTCCTTATCCTCAGATCCATCTCTCTGCCTCTTTGTGCCTTCAGTTGATGCTCTCTCTCCAGAGTCTTTTCTATGGAAGAACATGCTTCTCTTTGGCATGGGCAGGAAGCAGGAGGTAATGAGAGCGATGGCTGTGAGAACCAACGTGAACACAAGGATGTTGTTGTAGGACATGAGGTTGAAGCTGACGAGCAGCTGACCCAGCACTGAACCTACAGTGTATCCCAGGAGCTGGACGCTGCGGCTGTAAGAAGTTGCCTTACGGTATCTCTTCAGATCTACAACACTGTAAGAAATTACAATGTTCAAACTTTCAGGTCTGATCCAACCACAAATAGTAAAAACCAACCAATAGATACAATACAAAACCTGTAGATGTAGGAGAAATAGGCCACCTCGCTGGCTGTAGCCACCCCGTAGCAGAACTGCATGGCCTGCATGGCCGGAACGCTTTCTGTCCATCTCAGGAGAGCCGTGGTGATAAAGAGCATCACACACTGGAGGACCACCACAGGCTTGTAACGCAACCAGTCTGTGAGCAGGAAGACGGGCACCAGCACAGACAGGTAGGAGTATGTCCATACAGGGAAAATCTGACTGTTCACCTGGTGAGGAGATACTATTACACATATATATGTACCGGTTTGGCCAGATCATCATGACACCTTCAGGATTATCTGTTGTTTTATCCCATAATGAAAGAAGCAATATGTTTGAGTAGTTTCCTTAAAATATGTCTCCAAATACCTTTTTCATTTAAAAATAATCAGAAGCAGTCAAAGCAAAGATCATCATTTGGTCTTTACAAATTTTTATAATACCTTATAATCTTAGTATGTGTAGATATTTAGCTTTTGCAAAAGATATAAAAAGATTTTAGCAAAAAATCAACAAGATGGAAAAATTTATCAATAAGTCAAAGCTACAGCTACGAGATTATTTTATTATACCAATGCTTTGGTAATTAACATTTTATTGATACATAAGTATGTGGTATAATCACACATTTTACTATACTTATGATGCTATAATAAAAGTTTCTAATGAGGTGATTGCTGATGTTATTCAGTTGTTTCTCTGGGGTTTTGTACCTGCTCAGTGGTCAGATTCTTGTCCTTCCCTGTCAGGAATGGTATGAGGAAAGGCTCCAGCGGCTTTACCGTGCTAAAAAATCCATAGATACACAGCAAAGTGGTGGGATATCTCCAGTCTGACCTCAGCCTTTTCACATTCTCCATGTTTGCCTGCTTGCTTTTGGTATTTATATGTGCAGAGTCACTTGGTGGCTCCAGTTGCTTTGGTATTGCATACCTTCCAGGTTCAGTCATCCGAGTGCTTGTTTTGCCAATCAATAACCGGGTCAAAGGGTAGAAATGTTCCAGTGATTGTAAACACTTGTCAGGTTTCTGGATAAATCCCTGGGCTAATTCTTATCAGAAAATGTTTGTTTTACAACTTCACTTCCTCTTTAGATTGTGGAATTGACAAAGCAAATAATAAAGAAAACACCCATGAAGACAGCAGTTTTTTTTAGACAAAATCATTTTATTGCTGTTGATGGTCAGTAGAGATCACCTCTACATCCTGCTGTTTTTCCCTTGGTTCTGTTCTATCCAGAGAGCGGTGATGTACCCAGGCTGTGTAGGTCCCACGGATCAGGAAAACAACAGAGATGACACCATAGTAGCTGCCATATATTATAAACTGCAGAGAAAGACAAAAACTTCTATCAGGGTAGGAAAGACTTTTATCAATGATCTATTGCATCACACATATCATCTTGTAATGGCTCAGTATTACCATTAGGTGTCCCTCTATGATCACAAATGTATCCCTGTGTTTTTCAGGTAGGATTAAGCCCCAAAAAGCTGCTATCTGAATAGTTTATATGATAAAATAAGAAGAAATTACAGTATACCTGTGTGACAATGTCCAGTCCCAATGCGGCTTCATCAACAACAATCACAGTGATAATAGTCTGCAGAGCGAGAGCTATGAATGTGTTGATCCCAAACGTCAAAGCATAACACTCCATGGAAAGGTTTGATGCTATCTGAAATCTGCAGAACAAGGAATAGTTTTCTAAATCAGATTAATGGAAATATTTGTGATCAGAGTTACAAGATTACTGGATAGCATCTTCAGGAAAAAAATAAGGTGTGCATCAGTTCACCACCCCCACGCTTTCCCTCAGACTCATGAATCTATTGCATCCAACTTTACACAAACAATAAACTAACATTTTTTTTTATATATCAGTTAGAACTTTTTTGATGAAATTGGATAACCTTGTTTTCTTTTCTCCCTTTGTAGGCTCCAGAACAAATTTTATGTCAACAACAACAAGGCAAAAAAATTTTAAATTATAGAGGGCCCAGTGAAAATGAGGGAATCGTCTGAAACCCAGGTGACAAAAACAGGACAAAACAATATATCCAAAAATATTCATCACATTTCTTTCTGTTTAGGGATTTAGTCTTAGGTAAATGCATGTCTTGCAACTAACACTTAGACAAATGCACCATTATCTTTAAATAAAAACCAGGAAACAAACTGTAAAAAAGTAAACATAAGAGTCACAGTTGACTTTTTAAAAGAGAGTAGTTTTTTTCTGTTAAGGTTAAGGAACTATAATACAAAATGTATTGCTTCAAAATCTATCTTCTTAAAAGTAAAGCATTTAAAAACAGCTCTATGCCAAGTGTAACCCAATTTTAACTGTCATGTCATTATGTATTTAGTTTGTCATATTTTGAGATGTTAATAGAGAGCACCTAAGCTATTGCAGAGTTAATAAAAAAAACTTTTAATCACAAAAACCTGAGCTGCATCAGATTTAAACCTTGCCAAAAAACACTCTGCTTGCATCATTTCAATAGTTGTATTATTATCACTGAAAGTGTTAAAGATGACAGGAAAGCTGATGTTATTCTGGCCTAATTAGAAAAGCTGAATGGCTGTTTGGAAGCTGTGGTACTTCAAATGTTTTTTTGCACCATGGGTACCTTAAAAGAAGGCCATGACATATTGCTATACATTAAAAAAGCTTCATAGGTAAAGACATTGCTGCAATTACTAGTGCATCCCAACAACTGTTTTTCAAAGGAACAAAAATTACAAGGAAAGACATTTAGCTGGTGTGAGGAAACATCCAGGTTCCTAGGGTAGGCTGGCTCAGAGTTGACAGCAGGTGAGTGTTTCCTCATGCATAGAGAGTAAGACTTTTGAAGGTGGTCGTGAGACACAGTGAGAAGGAAGGAAGCAAACGGCAGTGGGTGGCTCTATTGCCTGGCAGCAAGAAAGTTCTGGGTTTGATTCCCAGCCTGTGGTCTTTCTGCATGGAGTTTGCATGTCATCCCGTGTATGAGTGGGTTCTGTCCAGGTACTACGGCCTTCCTTCAGTCCAAAAACATGGCTGTTAGGTTAAACGGCTTTTCAAAATTCTGCTGAAATGATCTTTGCGTTGCCCTGCAACAGACTGGCAACCTGTCCATGGTGCACCCTGCCTCTCACCCATAGACTGCCGGAATTAAGCACCGGCCCCATCGTGACCCTGACGGAATAAGCAGGAGAAATGGATGGATGGACTTTAAAAGAATTACCAGCATTAGACTGCAGAAGGCTTAATGACTGTGGAGAAGAAACGGCAGGCAATGAATAGTCCCGAGATCATCCAAATGTGGGGTTGTTTCGAATGGAATGGACTGCTAAACCATTGCATCGATAAACAAATATATCAAAACATCCTCCAAGTGTACCACAGACGCAAAAATCCAGAAGTAACAGAAAAAAAACAACATATTTTACTAAAGAAAAAGCTGGATGGCAAATCCTGCCACAGGGTAGAAGTAACAACAATGTTTCAAGGATCCAATATTGATGTTTTTCACTACCGGCTGGAATCTCACCGGTTCCTAATAAACGCCATATATTTCTTTAAAAAAAAAACTTTTATGCTATCTTGGACATGCTGCAAACCGCAGTACATCAAAGAAACATCTGAAGAGCAGAGCTAACAACACTGCAAGAGTTAGATTTGTGTATTTTCTCATTCTCAGAACCTCTGGCCCAAAATTGAATAATATTTATCTGTTCCAGGTATATTTTTATACTACATATTAGCAATGCCATTTTTTCTTCTTTTTTTTTTTTCCATATAAAGGCTTTTTTTTAACCCAAACTTTAGTTGAGAAAAGAAAGAAACCACATTGAGCTTACATTGTGATGGTAATGAGAAACATGTAGCAGGATTTGAATATGACATATCCAGCATAGCATGCCCAGATACTGCTGGTGAACGCCATCAGATACACAGCACCTGAGCACACGGCCGAGAACAGCCCCAGTGCCAGCTCTCCCCACATGGCCCAGTTCACCCTGATGAAGCTCACAGAGAAAGCTGCAGCAGCACCTAAAACACAGAGGTGAAATGTGAAGCTAAGAGCTACTTGTACCATGCATACCCTCCCTGCTGTGATTCATTAATTTACCCTAAAGGCATCATCTGTTTCCTCACGCGTTGACAGTCAAAAAATCGTCAGCAGATCTCCTCGACCTGGTTTGATAAACCTCATGCAGCATGCACTTAGTACCTACCATCAGCAATAATCTGACAATCCATTAACTTTTGTCTCTCTCTTTAATTGAAGCAATTACTCTTCCTTCCTTCACGCTGAGCCAGGCTGAGCAGGAGCCAAAAAGAACCCTGTGCTGCTCAAAATCAATACACATTTTCCATTTAATCAGTTGCCACATATAATCAGCCCCAATGCGCTTGTCTTTTTGTTAATTGCAACTTTTATATGTCTTTATGTTATCAGGTGTGGGAGCTTTAAACATCCTGAAACGTAACCATGGAGATGTGGAGCTCTGTTCTCCCCCTGCAACGATTTAAACTCTTGACCATAGTTTGCAAAGCAGAAAACCTTCAAGCAATTATTTCGGGACCTTTTTTCTAGAATTAAAATCTACTATATAAGGTACTTGTCTGAATTACACCATAACTCTGTAAATTCAAAGAATTTTCAAAAGCTTGTAGTGAAAATAAAAACAACAGTCTCACCAACAACAGAAGATACAGCTTCTACTGCTCCATTGTAGATAGACGATGTGGCAGACGGTTCTATATGGTCCCACTTGAGCTGGATGTAGTTAAAGATCTGCATGTAGCCAGCTGTGGCCAAAGCCCACCACAGGGACCAGTACACTAAATGCCTGCAGTGAGACAGCTGATTATGGTGTCGGTCGGTATTGTTGAAGAAAAGAATGTCTTTAAAAGACCTTCCTCTGTTTTCATTTTTATTATACAATCTAATATTTCTTAATATTAAGTTTTTCTACCTATGTGACATCTCAGGACAAATTAGTATGTAATTATGACATAGAAAGTAATGTATAAACAATTTCTAACATTTTCTCAAAAGAAGAAAATTTGGGTGGAAGTTCACCTTTAAGCAAAGGAAACAAACAGGGATTTAGATCCAAACATGTTCCTGCATTAGAATGGCCCAGTGGAAGTTTCCACCTATATTCATTTAAAATTCATGGCAAAACTACAAAACTGATTTTCAGGGACAATTTCTAACCAATAGGGGTGAGCTTTTGAAAGAAAAAGTAAAAGGAACATGCATATTAAAAACATTTATAGTCTTCCTTTCACTTCACATTTATGCACTACAATATTTTGATCTATCAAATACTTTATCCCAAAGAAATACTGTACATTTGTTTGGAACAAAACATGACAACTTTAAAAGGTGTTGCTTATATAGAAGTCAGTGTAAGAGAAACACACCTAGAAGAGTAGGATTCTTTGAAGCTTTTCCAAAGTAATCGACATGCTGTGGTTACATTTTCTCTGCTGCACCAGCCAGTAACCTCCATCTTCTCTTCATCCAAGGATTCTCCCTCCTTGTGTGAATCTCTTCGTGTGTTGAGTGACCCTTCATTTTGCGAATGGGAGTCCACAGCCTTTTCCCCTTTGAAGAACATGCTCTTTTTGGGCATTGGCAAAAAGAAAGAGACAAGAAAAGCTATGCAAACAATGCCCAGAGTTAAAGCGTTCAAGTAGAAGTAATCCACTCCTGTGAATTAAGAATGGATATTAATCAGTATTTGCACAACCTTTAAACTCGCTTTTTTTTCTGTACCTTTACATTGTTTAAAATCAGTACCTTCATACCTCCAAGGGAGACAAGCATTTGGCCAAGACTGGCACCGAATGTATATCCTGTGAGCATGGCACTGCGCAGGTAACTTGTAGCCCTTTGATAATGCTTTAGAGGAATGACGCTGTAAATATAAGAGAAGTAGGCCACTTCTGTGGAAGTCACCACTCCAAAGTTGACCTGTAAAGTATGTTTCTGTTTCTCTTAATGTGTATTTGTAATAAATAATTATCAAATGCATTAAACCTTTAGTTTATATTGCTGATAAATGCTTACTCAGAACCAAAGCACTGTCAGAATATGATCCATAAAAAAGCAAAAAAAAAAACCCTAATTGTATTGAATGCATATTTGTTAAGGCTTACATTTTATTGCACCTGTGAAGCCAAGTACCTTTAGATATGACATACCGGTAGTTAATTGATAAAAGTCCTAATATTTGTAATAAAACCTTTTTACAAACATGGCTGTTCTTTAAAGGCCTCAAAGGTTTGTTAGAAATGATTAGTGGACAAAAACAATCATGAGGGCCAAGGAGAAAATCAGCAAAGGATTTGGAGAGTTTTAATGCTGTGTTAGGTTTTAAAATAAATTCAGAGAAACATTAGAAAGTTTCTCGGTAAATCTGAAGGACATAAATAGATCCATAGGTACGGTGAGAGGATCTATTGACAGGATTACTATTAAAGTACTATTTTAATTAGTCTAGTGACAAACCTTTAATTCTCTTAACAGAAATGAAGGCTTGGAGATAACATTAACTCATTAATTCTGCAGTACAGCTGCTACAAGGCTGTCATCCTACTGACCTGAAGGAAGGTCATTGCTGGCAGCCCAGGGGCAAAAGATAGCAAGAGGTAGTTGCTGACGAGAAAAAGTCCTTGTACTATAATAACAGGCTTGTATTTCAGAAAGTCTGTCAAGAGAAACACAGGGAAAAGAAATGCCAGGTAGGAGTACGTCCAGATAGGAAACAGGTAATTGGTCACCTGCAGGAGAAAAACAACAAAGACAGGGATGCTGGGTCCAACAAAACTTAGGGTAATTATCCAGATAAGTAACATTTTCTAATGGTGTGCAGGATTCTATGCAGTACAACACGTGTTTGCAATACATACCACCTCCTCAGATATGTTCTTGTTTGGTCCAATGAGGTAAGGTGTCAGGAAGGGCTCTGCTACTCGACAATTAGCAAGAAAGCCGTAGATGGACAGTACTGTGGTGGGATAAGCCCATCCAGAAGACTTCAACTTTGCCCAACAGCTCATAATATCAGCAAAATTTCACACAAATGAGTCTGAAAAATATTTTCAAGATGAGTTACCCTGTCAGATGTCCACTATCCCTTAAGTGTTTCTATTTCTTTTGAAGCTAATCAGATGATCCCAGTGGTTGGAATATACACACAATCTTTATGAGCAACACAAACCCTAATCAGCAGTGGGTGTATGTGCAGACTTTGACCTGTTAGTGGAACACAAGACTTGGCAAGTTGTAAGTAAATAAGTACAAGTCTTAATTGTATGGAAGACTATATGTTCACTACCTTCCAAACACAATTCTACCTAGAATGTTCTTCTACAGCACATTTCTAATGAACTGCAAAGTAGTTATTGGAATCATATAAGAGATCCTGACAAAGTGGACTAATTCTTGACTGTGAAGTTGATGCATTATGATACATACCTTGACTTTAGGAGTAAAAATCTGATGAGAGTTTTCACACAGCTGTAAAGTATTTTGGTGCACGTGTCAATGTGTCTTTACCAGCTATTCACACCTAGAGAAAGACATTTTTTCAGATTCTTCTTTAGAAAACAGTCAGACTGAACATTAATTATTAAATAAAATCTAGGTAAAAAAAACTATAATGTTAAAAAATGTGAATTTTTAAATTTATATTAGGTCTTTCGTAAGGCGATGCAATATAACACTAGTCCCTCTTGGATAAAATTGTTACAGATCCTTAAATTCAGAAAGTAGTAGAAAAATATTTCAAACAGAAAGCACAACTTGCAAAAGATTAAAAATTGTATGATATGGACCAACATAAACACAGTCTTACTTTGCTAATTGTTTTTGCATTAAGATCCTCTCATTGTCCTTCCATTATTGCCCTTCCTTGTGCGCATGTGCTGTGGTCGCCATGGTAACCTTTTGTTGTCTGTGGGGCCGAGATGAAACTTAAGCGATTTTTTCTCAGATATTACCCACCAGGTAATGATCATTTGTTATTCGAGCTTAAAAAAAATTTAGTATAAGTATAAAAAATGAACATTGGCGTGCTGTGTAAAAATGTTTTCAACTGTTGAGCTTTCCTGGGTTTTTTTTTTTGTTACCGTTTTCTACCAAACACTTGGGGTTTAGGTAAAAATTTGTGTTTAGTATAAGTTCGAAACACAACCAATGTGTTTTTTTTATTATATATTTTTAGTTATTGATTGTTTTTTGTGGTTTTTTTTTTTTGGCTAGGTATAATCCTGGAATATGAGCAATCAGGCTATCTTAGAACCAAATCGATCGATCTTCTTGATCTGACACCCGAGTGCGTGAGTTTGGTCATTCGGTGCTGGGTTTGATACGTTGTTTTTATTAGTTAGTTGTTGTTCTTGTTTTTTTTTTTCCCTAGAAAAATTATGTTTGTTAATATTGTTCACTCTTGATAGAACAAACCCGGATGAGGTGGTGTCAGAAATCAAACAATCAGAGCCTCTGATCACAGAGTCCCGGGCAGAGCAAGTCAAGGAGTTGGTAGTTCGACTCCAACAGAAACGGAATCAAAAGGAACGCCACAGGTTCTGCTTCTGCAAGGTCTGCTCTGTTCTTTTCACAAAATACAATAAATCAATATCAATAGGATCAATTTTTCCCATCATTAGTAATACTGAAGCTGCTTTGACAAATAATCAAAATTTCGTTTTATTTTTATGAAAAATATTCTGATGTTTATCAGTTTATTTTGAAAACTTATTGTGTGTGTGTGTATGTGTGAGTGTATATATATATAATATATATATACTTTATGTATATACATTTATAATATACAT